GATTTTTCTTTTTAAATCCTGATATTCTTTCATCTTTAATGTTTTTATTTTTTATTTTTCTTTTTCTTTTTTTTTTTGTGCGTAATTTTACTTCTCAACATCAAACTCATAGTATTCTAATTAATAGAATTTGTGACTTGAATTTTATTAAGTTTGGAGCGAAAAGCTCACTGTGCTATATAAGTTACAAAGCTTAATTATGAGAATTTTTCGGTGAATCTATGGAAAAATTATTAGGTACGTAGTGCGCATCGTCCGCACAAGCACTGGGTACCTAGCGGTACCCAATGGTACCGAGTGCAGGACCGCTAGGTACCCAATACTTGTGCGGACGATTCTCCCCGTCCGCACTCCGCACCTAATATTCTCTCGAATCTATGATTGTAGCAAGGAGATTGGGCTAGGGCTGAGGTGTCAGGACGATAACACTCAAAGAATTGCCTTTTATTATTTTTACAATCATATTTTTATGCATAGAATTAGGATTTTACGATTATGTTATACGATCCGTTACTTCTTCTATTATTGTGAATTCTTCTCTGCTTATGATTTCATTCCGTCTAAATATTTTTCATATAAATCGAAATATTTTTTGGTTTACATTTTGTTGACTAGTTCTCCCATATTTTTATTACACTATATGGTGATAAGAACAGCAGATGGATCAGAAAAATAATTGTGCAGTTGAATTACCAAGATTTTGTTTGCCACAATTTTTTTAGTATTTTTCAAAGCAGTTTTTTAATATTAAAATTTTTAGTTCAATTATTTTTTATTAAAAAACTGTTTTAGTAAATAGGAAGAAAATTATCTCAAATAAAGTTTAATTTATTACAGAAAAATTTTAAACTAAAAACTTTTATACTAAAAAAATGTTTTAAAAAATAGTGAAAAAGCTGTCTCAAATGAAGTCTTAGGCATCATTTGGAACATCTTTCTTCCTGCTTTTTAAAGCAACTTTTTATTAAAAAAATTATTTTTTTAAGTAAAAAACTACTTTAATAAGCAATAAAAAAAGTTGTCTCAAACAAAACTTTAATTAGCATTAATGCTTTGCCTATAAATTAGTTGCGAGGAACAATGTTCATAATCTAAATTATTATAAAATATAGTATCCCTTCAACCTCAAATATCACATTGCACTCTTTTTCTACCTTAAGCAATTTCAGGCACTCGCCTGCTTGCTTCAGTGGCTACAGAAAGCAAAAAAGTAATCTTTGAGAACAAGTTTCTGATTTCTCCTTAGTTGCTTCTGATGCAGAATTTCATGCTAAGATGTGGCATCGAAGTATCAATATATTTTATTTCACTATTGAATCTTCAAAATTTGTTCCCAAAAACAAAAATAAACAATGTAAACAAAAAGGGTTCGATCACTAATAAGGTTTTCAACTTGTAACATATGGCATCAAAACAAATGGAAAGTGTGATGACAAAATTGGCTCGATTCAAGCCCAAGTTTATAGCCCCCACAGTAACCCCCACAGCTAGGCAGAGCAGCACTTACAAAATCACTTTCACCTCTCCTGGTGCGGCGGAGTAGCCGAGTCCTTTGACACCAAAGAGATCTTCTACTTCCCAAAACTTCTCTCAAGACAAACCTTGACTATGATGGTACTAAGGTGCAAGCTTGTCAGAGCAATCATGTGAAACCTCCCTTCACACTCCCTTAAACCCAACAAGGATCTTCTCCCTCTCAAACTCCACATTTTTCTCTCTCCCTTTCAAGGCTCTCTCTTCAAATTTTCTCAAGAAGAAAAATGGCTCAATTGAGTGCCAAAAAATGATTACTAAGTATTTTGATAAAGCTTAAATAAAGGGCTTCAAGACCCTAATTTTCAATAGAACTAACTATGTTCATATAGTACGATACAAATATTTTACCATATGATCAGTGTAATGTAGACTCGTCCAGCAAGTTCGTACAGATGAACTGCTCAACCTTTATAACACTTCATACAATACGATCAAAAGATTGCTCGGTACGAATTGTAGAAATTCCTTCTGTTCACTTGGGATGACTCCTGGACGACCAACTTCATACACTAACGATCATCCATATCTGTAGACATCATACAGTATGCAGTACAAAAATCATGGATTTCATTTGGTATGATCTCGGGGATGACCAATTTCATATACTGTCAATCGTATTGTACGAATATATCGTACAGTACAATTTGCGATAATAATTTTCTAAGATTTGATTGTTTGAAATTGAGGGGTTAATTAAGAAATATTTTAATTAGGTCGTATTGTTGATGATGCAAGTTTGGCTGCTCCTTCGGGTGATGCTGTTCAGTTGGATTGTTTTGCCTTTAAGTGCTCCTGTTATTTTTGAGGTGGAAGCTGCTAATCTGCCCTTAATTGCTAAAGGTGTTAATGAGATATATGATGCCAATAATTATTTAATTAACCATGTAGCTAGTCCTATTAGTGTTGACGTAGTGGCAGATGTTGGTAGTATTTTTGAATCCTTAATTTTAGAGGGTGGTGGAGCTATTGTGGTCTCTGCCAACCCGGTTGCGTTTGGGGGTGAATCAAATTCTAGGGGTGTGGATGATGATTCTGTTGAGTCACCATTGAATTCGTGCTAATCCATTTTAACGAATGTGCATTTTGTTGATGTTCCTATTTTATGAATCCTTAATTTTAGAGGGTGGTGAAGCTGTTATGATCTCTGCCAACCCGGTTGCATTTGGGAATGAATCAGATTCTAGGGGTGTATATGATGATTCTATTGAGTCACCATTGAATTCGTGCAAACCAATTCTAATGAATGTGCTTTTTGTTGATGTTCCTATTGCTTTTATGTCTCCCGATGCCTTGAAAGCTCATTTGGTGGTTAATGAGGAATATTATGGCGTGGATCATAATGATTGGCTTGATGGTTCTACTTCTCCTTATGTGGGTGATAGGGATGTTTTGGATGGTCTGGAGGAGGATGACCATGATGTGTATAACTTGAATGTATGTCGCATTGTTTAAAAACCTTTTGCCCTGGGGGGTGGCAAATGTCGTAGGAGTCTGTTCTTGGTTGTTTCTCGATCTAGTTTGTGGCTGTCTTTTAGGTTTGAGATGCTTGCCAGTTGGGGGGGCTTTGTGGTTTTGGTTGGGTTGGATTTGGCTTTTTCGGACTATGATGAGGCTCTGTTCTGCACAAGCCTGGCTTGACCATGGTTGCAGGAAACCTTGGTGGTTCATTTCTGATCAGTGGTTGTCATTGGCAGGTGGGATATTATTGGTTCTTGGTTCTCCTCTGGTCGCTTGGTGATTTGTTGCCTCCAATGGATGGTCCTTCTATGATAGCTTGGTGGTTACGGAATTTGCCATTCTTGAGTTGGTCTGGCAATGTTCATTGTTTCTACAATATTTTGTGGCCTTATTTCTATATTTTGTTAGTTTTTTTCTTTTATTGGCTGGCTACCTTCAAAGCTTTGTATTATTGATTGGTCTTCTCTTAGGCCGTTGTACTTTCTCTTTTGTTGAATGGAATAAAAATAGTGTCAATGAAATATTTTGGTGTTATATGCATACTTTATTTTATTGCTAGACATTGTGAGCCATAAGGGTTATAATTCTCTTAATTTTGTCTGTTGAGAGTCATAAAGGTAAGAATTCTCTGAATTCTGTTTGATATATAGTGATTGTTTATTTATTTGAATTTCTAATATGAGTGTGTATGGTATTTCTTTCTTTTGACTTTTGATATAGTCATGGCTAGTTAATATTATATTATATTCTATATTTCAGTCTTTAGCCATGTACTGGAATGTAATTCTTGTATATTCATTTTGATAATAAATAAAAAGAAAATTTTGTGGATAAGTTTAGTTTTTTATATATTGATAGTTATTAGTAGCTTTGTGGCTTTTTATTTTTTTAAAGTTAAAATTGAATAAAAAAAATTTGAATGGTTTTTAAACTTAGATCTTGTGGTTGGCTTGTTGCAAACCAATACGATAAAACCTGTTTCGTCTGTGAGTTTTATCGGATTGGGTTGTGACATAAATCACCACTAGTCAAGTACTTATTTTATAAAGTAAATTCTATGTATCTTCTATAAGGGTGTCAATTTCAGGTCTCATGTCGGGTTTGGGTGGAACCTGAAGCTGACCCGACACTATTGGGTTCAACCCGAATTGACCCGAATGACCTGGCGCCAACAAAAAATAGGTAAATTTCGAGTCAAAAAATGGGTAAATCTCCACTTTTCGGGTAAAAAAACAGGTCAATCTCGGATTGATGTATAAAAAATGGGTTTCCAAGTCAATTTCTAGTCACCGGGTTAACCTGAACCCGACCCGATTTTTGAAATGGGCCGAATTGGTGAACCCAAACCCGACCCGTTTAGGGTTCGGGTCAACCCAAACTTGAAATTTTCGGGTCGGGTTTTCGGGTTAGGTCCAATATTGACACACCTAATCTTCTACTAGCAACAACCCATCTTTGAAAGCTGTGATTTCTTGGTGAAAAAACTCATGACTTCGGCAAATGATATCTTCATCTCAAAATTTTGTTTAGTAAAGTTGAAGTTCTTTATTTCATACTCACTCTCTAAGGAATAAATGGATGACTTTAATGGACCAACATCAAAAAATAACTCTTCAACCTTTCTTTAAAAGATCTACTTCAAATAGCCCTCTTAGCATATTTAAAATCACAGCATAAATATCTTGTGAATACACCCTCAAAGTAGAATTCAACGTCTTATTACCTTTGTTAGCAATCCGCCCAATAATTTTCTTCATAATTTCCATAATTAGCCTGACTAGATTTGAAGGAATCTTGTGATCTTTATCTGCAACAAGCAAGGCTAATTTGAAAAAGGAGAGGCTGAAAGAGGAAGTTTAACATTTATAAAACTCTAAAAACGTCTCATTTACTCTTCTAATCGAAGTCAATCATTTAATATTCTGAACTCAATATATTTTTTCAACTATTTAACGCGCTATTAAGTTTAAATTCTCACAAATTTTCACAAGAAAGATTACTGCAACTCTGCTCAATGAATTTTTCTTTCCATTAATTCCATAACTAAATTACACCAACCATTATAAAACATCTGCATCGTTATTTCCTCCCCCAAATCTCCCATTAAATCTTCCTGTAATTCAAAAAACATAAAAAAACAACAAATGAACAAGTCTTCGCTTCTGTTCCATCCGCACAAATTCAAACCAAAGGTGTTTTCTCTTCTTTGTCTTGAATACCATCTTCTTCTTCCCGCTGCTGCTTTGGTTTACAAGCAATGGGAAACTTATACTCTGAAAGAAGCTTCAAGACGATTCCCATGGCGATGAGCAGTAGCCCAGTGCCATGTTGCTCAGTCAAAGGCTTTGTAAATATCAAGTATGATAGGAGAAGAGTTACTGCTTTTCTTGCTGTGGTTACCTGTAAACAGATAGGAACAAGAACTAAGATGAAATATGGTGGTTTAAATCTTAAAATAGCCTCCCCCAATTCAGTTTAACTATTAAAAGTTGATTCCAAATGATCTCTTAACAGCCAAATTATCCCAATTTCTATCAATTTTCTCTGGGCGATCATTTAGGATCAACATTATATGGTAGAAAAATTAAATTGAAGAAATATGATATTTTACAACTAAATTAGTCTTATGCACATAGCTTGGGGAGTGATTATAGTGTCCGGACATCAAACGTGTTCAGAGACCAATAAAAATGCGCCACATCACTAGGCGCTCGGTACCGAACTCGATACCATGGTCGGTACCAACAACAGTACCGGTCGGTACCGTGTCTGAACACAATAATTTTTCTAGCCAGAGGACTACTTAGAGATTTATTTGATAAAATAGAAAACTTTGTGAATTATAATGGAAAGGAGATTAATCTTACCATGGCGGTTGTGGCCGCGCCGAAAATAGCGATGAGGGATAGCACAGAGACTTGACCGACGAAGGTAGCCATGGCTTCAAAGATCAGCACACCATACACATAAAGATGCTACATACAGAAACAATCACCATGAGAAACAGTTCTTAATGAAGTTATTATTTTAAGCATTAGTTAGAAAAAAATTATATTCAAGAGAAATAAATTTTCTGTCTACAAATAGTCAAATGACCTTTCAAAATATATAAATAACCATAAAATTAAATTCAAGAGAAATAAAAATAAAACAAAATATAAAATAAATGAAGTACAAATTTTTATTAACCCTAACCGGATCGGACCGTTGAACGACGACCATTCAACTAGTTTTCTATTAGGAAGGATTGACCAGAAAAGCTGGCAGCAGCGACTCCAAAAAATGACGAAGCCTCCCAAGCTTTATAAAAGTATAAAAGGTTTGTTCCTGTGAGGTCGTACGTGCGGGTGATGTTAGCTGTTATTCAATACTGCTCTTGCTGATTCATTAAGTATCAAATAATTATAAGAGTCCAATCAATTTCAACTTACTCAATTGATTCTTTGAACTTTTTATTTGTTTTTTTGAACTACGATCTCATAATGAAAATAGCTTAATCATTACTTCATGACCACACTCTTTTCTTCCCTCATCAACATGCAAAAAGCTTTTAAGTGAATGCCGTTTGATGATTACATCAATAGTGACCATATGCTTCTCTGTTTTCCGAGAAATTATTCTGTGCGCATGGGCAGATCCCTATAGTATTGAGGGGGCAAATGCTCACCCTAAAAAAAAAAAAAAAAATTTAGAGGAGATATTTTAGAATATTTTGGATATTTTGAGTATTTTGCCCCTTCTCAAAAAAAATTTTTGCACTTATTTTATCGATCATAAGCTTCTTTGCCATTTCCCATCAAAAAAATTTTTTTGTCCACCCTGAAAAAATAAGCTAGATCCGCCCCTGTCTGTGTGGAATTCAAATGGGAAGAACAATCTGAGTTGTGAGTGTATACATTGTATGTATATTGTGTGCATATATATACACACTGTATATACTCATATTTCCGAGAAATTATTTTGTACGGAGTCCGGATGAGAAGAATAGTCTGAATTGTGAGTGTACATATTGTGTGTACACAGTATACAATTATATACAAACTGTGTATACTCACATGTCCAAACAATTCTTATCATTTGGACTCCTCTGTCTTCCTCGGCCTTATATGCCATAATTTGGTGTTAATTGAGAATCAGAAACAGAAAGCAAGCAAATAATTGCAGGTAAAACGAAAGAGGATTTACCTGTGAGCATGAATTCCATGCCTTGAACAACTCTCCAGTTAAAAGCATGGGCGGTATCAGAAGAGGAAGCCCAATAACAGTAGAGCAGAAAAGCATTTCCATCTGAAGCAAGTCCGCACTTTATGGATCAGTATTTCTTTTTGAGATGAATCAGGCAAAGCGTTATTCAAAGCCTCACATGCACGTATTTAACCAAGTCACATGAAGAACTTTGAAATAATTGAACTCGCAATGAGATTTGGAAAATGGAAGAATACCTGAGTTGTTTCAGGATTAATGGTAAAGATGGCTTCTTGCAGGTTGCCAAGGAAAGCATCCATTACAAGTGCGCCGCTCACCATAAAAACACCGATAAAGCTAAAGTTTGGTGAGGTCTGAGCATCTGCGAGAGTGAAGAGAATCAAGCCAAGAACAAGAAGAAATGCAGAGATGTACTCATGCGCCGGATATTTCCTTCGAATGCCGGGAATGAAAGCTCCCATTACCATCACAGGCAAAACCTGAAATAAAAACAGCTAATTTTTTTGAGAAATAGTGAATACTTGGGAGCTATTGGGCCCAATGTATTTAGTTTAGAGCGATCTTGCTTGAACATTGTACTCTTATGTAGAAAGTCTTAAGCGGTGAAGCTCTCTTCTCTGTCTTTTGCTTAGGGCATCTATAACCGAAAATCTAATTTTTCAATCTAAAATGCAGTGATTTGTCTCCTATCGAACTCCATTTTGCGCGCTTCTGCGAAGATAACCGTTTTTCTTTTTTTTTTTTTCGCGCGTTTCTTCAGCAAATCCGGTTGAGACATAAATATCGCATAGGTGAACAGTCCAACTACACAATCTTCGCGTTACACTGTTCACCCTCCACCGATTAACAATTTTTTTATCGTTCGAATAGAACAAACCAGCTACACCTTATAGTCGTTTGGAGTTCGTCTGGATGCGTCCTTAAACAGCCATAAAGATTTAAGCAATTATCTATAAAATTTTTTATTTCGAGTGGATACATTAATATTACCTTGGTAGATTTGAACATGAGCTGAGCAGGATAGTTCAAGAAGGCAAGAGAGCCCTTGGTTAGCCCATGAGAACCCATTAGCACCGAAGACAGCTTCACGTAAGTCTTCCATGGATTCACCATCTGCTTCGTGCTAAAGCCCTGCAGATATATGAGCCCAAGGTAGACGAAACCCTGCACAAAGGTGAAGTACCATCCATAGCTTCAACCAGAGAAAAACAAGAATTGGATCAGACCAACAGAAACAGGACAAGCTTGAAGAACATGTCAAGAAAGAAGAAGAGATCAATACCTGAAGCTTAAACGGTTGTAAACGTATTCCTGAAACAGAGGAAACCAATACCCAAAGCAGAATTAAAACTCCATTCAATTCAAAAATAGAAACTTGGAAGGGATTGAAAGGAAAGAAAGAAGAAAGATTATAAGTACCTCGCAAATACCATTCACAAGGTAGCCGAAGAAAAAGCCAGAGGAGCATATTAGAAACTGTTGATACTTTGGCCTTTCTGTAAGCGAAATTCCGAAGAGAGACCTGGCCTGTTCTTCCCCCTTCTTCATATCTCTACTTTAATGGAGGAAAGGAGCGCAAAGAGAGCAAGGAGAATATAAAAAGAAAATTATCAAGAAGCTTATAGCAGGTTCAAGGGAAGGTATAAGGAAGAAGAATTAAACTGTAAGAGATGAAAAGAATAGCAGAGCGCGTCCCCTCCTTCCTGCTGCTCTTCTCTGATTTGTCCTGTTTTGATGGAGAGTTAATGGGTTTTTCAACTAAGGAAACGAAAGGCTTATATTTGTTAATTGAGAGGGAAATCCAAGATAGCGAATATAGAAGACTTGATGTAGTCTCGGGCGAATTTGTCAATTTTCCACTCAGTTTACTCTCTATTTACTCCAATTCCACCTGTATTTTAGCTATTCGGTAACCGGTAAGTTCACCACTCAGGTACTATAGAAGATTTTTTTCTTTTTACAAAAGTAATTATAAAATTGAGGGAGAATTAAAATTTATTATGAAATTATAAATTTATATTTTAAAAAATTAAAAATTAATTTTCTTTCAACTACCTGATTTTAACAAATTTTATTTTTATAAATGATAAAAAGTTAATAATTATAAAAAATAACAACAACATCAATGAAGTGGAGATGAAGAGAAATTTGAGATATCTCTTGTCACCAAAGTTCTCCTTAATCATTGTTCGACCACCGACTATCTTCAGAATTTTATCTGGCCACCAGCTGACACCAAATTTATACTTGGTCACCGACTGTAACCAGACTTCCACTCAACCACCAACTATAGGAAGCCACCAACTGATGTCGGATTTATGCCCAATCACTGACTATCTCTGGAATTTAGTCGAACTTATGCCTGGCCACCAAGTATCATAGGACTTACGCCTGACCACTGATTGTCATCGAATTTTCTACCGACCACTTTTGCCGACTTTGGTCTTTTCAACTCCCATTGCCCTCCGACTATGCTCTATCCGATCTTCAGCACCTAACTACGTCTTTTCGATCTCTGTTGCCCAATTATGGTTCTTCCGACCACTTATGCCCGACTACAGTCTTTCCGACCTCTGTCGTCCGACTACGATCTTTCTAACCAACTTTACCAGCCGACTATGGTCCTTTTGACATCCGTCGCCAGACAACGGTCTTTCCAACATCTATAGCCCGCCAAATTTGATCTTTCTAACCACTGTCACGAACTACGGTCTTTCCAATCACTGTCACTAACTACGGTCTTTTCGATCTCCATCACATGTTGACTATGGTCATTTCTACCAATGTTGCCGACTATGGCCTTTCCGACCTCCGTCGTTCATCAACTATGATCCTTCCCCCACTTTCACCCGACTATGATCTTTCTGACATTCGTTGACGGCCGACTACGGTCTCTCCAACCACCATCTCCTGATTACAGTCTGTCTCCCTTATTGTCGTCGCCAGACTACGATCCTTCCAACCTCCGTCACTCGCCAACTATGATCCTTCCGACCATCGTTGCCCGACTATGATCCTTCCAACCTCTGTCGCCCGACTACGATCCTTCCGGCCATCTTCGCCCGACTACGATCCTTCCGGCCATCTTCGCCCGACTACAGTTCTTCCAAACTACATGGTTCGCTGACCAAACGAACATGTCAACACTTTTTCTGTTAACTCCCATGCCACCATGTATTGAATATTATGTGATGTATATTTGCTACATCAATCCATGACCTCATTTGTAATCAACAGTAAACACTAGTGGATTCATTTAAACTCTGCAAGGCCCCGTTGTTTTCCCCATTTTTCAAGGGTTTCAACGTAAAAATTCTGGTGTCCCTTATGAATGTTACATCCCTACTATTTATTTCTTTGTGCATTGGATCTTTGTATAAAGCTATGACATTAAACTTTATATTTCTCTACCGTCATGAATATTCTAGGACGCAACAGAAACCAAATCACCTAAGTCAATTATCTCTAATCTTATCTGACACTGGAGCTACTCCAACCTTTCATGTATATTCTCATTTAGCATTATGTCTCTAAGTGAAAAGCCACGCATCCATCTAAGTATTCTCATCATTGTAGCACTTAACTTAGTTTTATGCTTCTAGTTTAATGGCTGATTCTAAGCCCTAAAACATTAGTCTTATAGATCTCGTCTCAACTTATAGAATTTTCTCTTAAATTTGAATGATACTTTTCTATCACACGTCAAACCCAATACATTCATTTCTCCACTGCAACCATTCAATTTGAATAATAATTATGATAAAATAAAGATAAAAAAAGCTACTCTAAATTGACCCTAAAAATTAGGGGTGTAAACGAATCGAGCTAGAATTACCCGGGGCTTGAGCTTGATTAATTAATTGAGTTTGAGCTTTGAGCTTGAACTTGAGCTTTATTCAATGAGGCTTTATTCAATGAGTTCGAGTTAGTTTGTTTATTATGAAAGAGAAAATTATTATGATTTTAGTAATTATTATAATAAAATGGTGAAAGGAATGAGAGATTATAAAAAAATAAAAAAGAATAAATTAATATAAGAAAATGAATATAATTTTTAAATATTTTTAACAATTTTTACTTAAAATATAAATCTTAATATATTTTAAGTATGTTTTATATTAATATTTTTTAAATAAGTCCCCTCACAAGCTAACGAGTTGAGTCGGGGTACTACAACTCTCCTTGGCCTATTGGTTGAGAGCTTAGGCTTCCAACTAAGAGGTCCAAGGTTCGAGTCCATGTGTATGCGTTGTGTGTGTGAGTTTGCCTTAAATGGCCTAAATGTCCCAAAAAAAAGAGTTGAGTCGGGGTTGTTATAAATTTGATTTATTACCTCTTCAAGTTCGGCTCAAGAATCATTTATCGAGCCAAGTCCAAACCGGCTCACGACTCGGCTTGACTCCCTTTCACCTCAACTATCAATTCAGTCGGTCCACAGAACACAAAACTGACGTCTGTTAGTTTGATTTGACTAGTAAATTTGACGTTGAATTTGGTTATCCTAGGATAGCCGTTTGATCATTCCGACGTCGGATCGGACGGCTTGGGGTGCATGGCACGGGAAAATCATGCAGCGGGACGTGCACTAAACAGACAATTAATCGCAATTAATTAGAAGATCTAGTGAAGGTGGGTGGAATTTCGGTTAAAATATCTCTCTTAAAAATCCTTTCGGAAAATGAATAAATCTCTTAGCGTATGGAAGAGAAATAATGGTTTGGTGTGGGACAAAATTTTTATTGATTTCTGAAATAAATTTTTAATCTAAAAATTTTTAGTTTAAAAAATTTTTAGTTTAAAAATTGTTTTAAAAAATATTATGAAAATTAGTCTAAATGGAACTAATATTATTTGATGGTGATGGTGCCTTAAATATTTTTTTAGAAAAAAAATATAAAATTAAAATAATATGATCAAAATTTTAGTTAAAATTAATTTGAAATTACTAATTTTAACATAAAAGGAATCTAAGATAAATTTAATTGATTAATCACCTTATTAATTTAATATTTATTTTGTTTAAATTTTTTAAGATGTGATTAATCACCATATTCTACTGTTACTTTCTTTTTTAATTCACAATGCTAAATGGGAGAGAGAGATGAGGACTATGTATAATAGATTTTGTAAGTCTTTCTCCTCAATTATGTGCTAGCGCATAGGGTAAATAATTACCCAAAAAAAGGATAAATGTACAATAAAATTAATTTTCAATACAAATTTATGTAAATTCATCGCAATCTAATGATCAAAAGCTATACTTGAAATATAATTTAGAACAACGTTCCCAAGATAATGTTCAAAAGTTAGGCTTGAAATATAATTTAGAACAATGTTTGAAACTAAAATATGGGCTTAAACTTTGTTAGAATCTAATTTGAACTAAGTTTTAAACCTTGGTTTCGAAGTTTATGGTGAAACCCCAAGTTTGAAACAAAAGTTCAGATTAGATTCAAATCTGTCATATACGATTTGAACGTATTTCAAATCAAGTTCAAATCCAAATTAGAAGTTTGAACTAGGTTCCAACTAATGAACTTCATTAATTCCTCTATTGAACAGTAAATGTAATGCTATATATATACAACTAAAATCTCATATTCATGTAAGCAGTTAGCTATAGATGTGTGGAGTGATTATGTGTGTAGAGATCCAACAGCTAAGATTGCAGACATTGATGTTGCACAGTGTGATGAAGTAGATCACATGGAGTAGTAGGTCAACTTATCTATAGATAAGAATATATATCACTTTTTTTTATCAGCCCCCCGTTAGTTGAATTGTTAACGTGCTACGTTGCTAGTTGAAGAAAAGGGAGCTGTCGGATTTGGTGAAATATTTGCAGGCTAATCTTGAATATAAATATGATTTCATTTGATGAAATCTCTAATAAAGTGACAATTAAATTCAATATGCTTTGTGCGAGCATCAAACACTGAATTGTTGGCCGATGCAAGAGCGGACACATTATCACAAAATAGTTTGGTTGGAGCAGAATTAATGATGAAATCTTGTAAAATCGAATGAAACCAGATAATGTCACAAGCTGCGGTAGACAAAGCCGTGTACTCATCCTTCGTGGATTATCTGGCAACAACGATTTTCTTCTAATCACTGGGAGATTAAGGTGTCACCAAGAAAGACACAATATCCAGTTATTGACTGCTATCCACAAAATTAGCAGCCAATCAGAGTTTGAAAATGCTTGAAGGACGTTAACTAGGTACTTCATACTGATCATGAAGAACTTGAGTTGATGAGGGATAAATACATCAATTGTAGTGATGAAGGTATTGAGCGAAGAAGAGGTCGTAGGGTAGTTGACGACCATGAGAGAAAAAAAAACCCAAGTGCTTTGATACCATGAAGAATAGTGTACCTGAAGATTACGATGAAACAAAGAAAGAAAAATGAGAAGATTGTAAGCAAAATTTAATTAAAGAACTTCATTGATTTTTCTATTAAATAGGTAAATGTAATGCTATCTATATATAGCTAAACTCTCATATCCCTCTAAATCAATTAGTTATAGATGTGTTGAGTAGATTATATGTGCATAGATCCAACAATTGAGATTGCTCATGTTGCTGTAGCACAGGAATGATGGAGTAGATCGCATGGAGCAGTGAGCTAACTTATCTATAGGTAAGAATATGTATCACTTGTTCTTATCAGTGTGAACTAGTGATGCTGGAAGAGACGTTGAATGCATTTGTATTTCGCATTTTCTACTGGCATTATAAGAGATCACCTGAGTGATTTGCTGAATGCGTT